AAAAAAAAAAAAAAAAAAAAAAAACTATGACTATTGCGGAGTTCAATTGCCTTGATTGTTCTAACTTGGGATAGTTTTACATTTTGATTTGCATGTTTTGCAGAGGTTGCATAGTTCGAAATGGAAATATTTTGGACTTTTTATAAAATATTGTACATTACAACTTTATCATGTTAAGACTAATTATTTGAATTATCATATAGCTTACATTTTGAAAAATATTGTTAGCTGAGTTAGTAGATTGATGATAATGTTGTATGAAAATGCAAATGTCATGGACTTTAAATTTTGATATCATCTACAATTTTTTTTTTTTTTTGATATTTTGAAAACAGCTAACATCAAGTAAAATGTTATTTATTTTTGTAATTTCATCTCTTTTTCTTATCTGTTTCTTTTTCTTGGGAATGAACAGGGAGAGAGAGAGAGCTACAAAGAAACTCTTCTGACTGAGAAGCCATGCAGACGCAGTTGACTCTTGTAAGTTGTTGTTCATGTTAATATTTCCATAAACCTGCACCACAATCCACATACTTAATTTGGGCAGAAATATAATATTTTAAATGTTTTTAAAAATTAAATATAATATTTTAACTCATTTTATTTTTATTGTATTCAATTATCTACTTGATTCTCCCCCTGAAAAGGAAAGAATAACCATATATGTTAATTTGTCATGAAATTAATTGATGTTTATTGTATAAAGAAAGTTAGAAATTTATTTAATAACATGTTGAGTCGTTTGCTAAACAATTAGAATTTTACTTCATTTTTTAAATTCAAGAACTGCTTAAGTAGAACTATTATAACTGATAAAATTTATAAAATTTATAAAATACTTTTAGTTATTTAAGTTTTATAATACTTTTTTTTATTAAAATACTATTTTCGTCTCTATGAGACTAACTATTATATTTTCAGATGTCTTACGGGTAATTTCAATAAAATTTAAAACAAATCTATGGTTAATTTGAAAATGTTTTAAAAATTTATAGAGACTAGTAAAGTTTTTTTATTTTTTATTTTTTGAAAAGTTAGAACTAATTTTAAATTTATTGAAAATATTAGGACTAAATTTAAAGAAAAGTATGGACTAAAATAGATCAAATGTCAATTTTATCAGCCACATACCTCAAGGAGATCGAGAAGGCCCCTCGAGACCTTGGCGCTCTAATTTCCTAGGAGAAATGCGCTCCTTTTATGCTTCGTTTAGCGTAAGTTCTCGTTCTAGCTATGGTGTATTTGTGGTTGTTGAGAAACTTGCAAGGGAAAGCCAAATAAATTGAATACGGAATTTTCTTGGGAAATTATTAGGCAATTTTGTTTTTCAATGAGTGTACTAATAATGATCGGATGTGGTAATTGTTGAGTTATTTTCTCCATGGCCTTACAATCGTTATTAAAACTCATTTGTTGAATATAGAGGGACTTCTTAGGCAGGCGGCATGATGCTGGTACTTGTGATGCTAAAACGAAAACAAAGAACTGCAAACAAGGAACTGAAAATTGCAGTTGATTTCTGAGGTGAGCTTTTTCCGTTTCTCTTTCTTGTGAGTCTATCAGTTGAGCTAATGATGTCTTTCTTCCAATGTCGGTTTAAATTTGATGGCGATGTTCAATCTCTGTCCCAACTGTTATGATGATCTGGGGATTTGTTTTTGTTTTCTGTGGGATAAGTTTTTTCATGTTATATTACTCATTGTTACTTATGTTGTATCACTCAGAAGAACCTGTGAAGACTGGACATCCAAAAATCACATATGCAGCAGACCTGAACCAGGTGAATTTCCTTTCACATGGAAGGTGTCCTTTTTGAACTATTTCTCTCCTCCAGTTTCACTTGTCATCCATTTATATGATTTTTTTTTTCACCCAAATTCATGCTGTTGCGCTGTGTTGAAACCTGCATGTTTAAGAAATGGGAGGCAGTCTCTCGTGACTCTCTGAATCGATGAGGTTGACGGCGATACGGAAGTGGCAAAAGTAGACAATATTTGCTAGTGGTAAATTTGGACTGTTTACAAATGGTATCAGAGCCAGACACCGGACATTGTGAGATCCTCCATTGGTTGGAGAGCGGAATGAAGCACTTTTTGTAAGGGTGTGGAAATCTCACCCTAACATACGTGTTTTAAAACCATGAGGCTAACGGTGATACGTAACGGGTCAAAGCAAATAATATCTATGTTAGCAGTGACTTTGGGCTATTAGAAATGATATCAGAGCAAGACACTGGTGTGCCAGTGAGAACGTTGGGTCCCTAAGGGATAGATTGTGAGATCCCCACAATGGTTGGAGCGGAGAGCGAAACATTCCTTGTAATTGTGTAAAAACCTCTCCAAGTAGATGTATTTTAAAGTCTTGAGAGAAAAGTCTAAAGAGGATAATATCTGGTAGTTGGTCGGGTCAATTTGTTGAGAATTGCTGGGAAGAATAGTCTCACCAAGACTGATTAAGAGGAGCATCGTGAGTTTATAAGTAAAAAACATCAGGTTTATTGGTATGGGTACCAATCCTCCAAAATTTTAAGCTTTCTCCTCTTCTTCTAATTGTAAATTTTCAGGTTTCTGGGGTTGTTGTTGCAGTGGAGGTGGTGGCTGGCGGGCATCCATTGATTTTGTCCCTGGAAGAACATCTCCTCCCTTGCTTGGAATTGCTTCCTCACTTATCTACGGAGAGTTTCATCCTTTTTAATAAGAAAGAACAAATTTGAAAGCACACAGTAAGTTAAGAAAACTGCAAGAAATTATTATTATCATCATCACATATGGCAGCCCCACCATATTAGAGGCCATATACATGTGGGAATAAAATAGAGAAACAAATAAGCTTATGCAGACTATTTGCTAAAAGAAAGCCCCAAAGGAGAACAAGTTCATCTCCTCTGCCCCATACACACTAACTCTATTAATAAAATTAGAAATTCAACTAGAAACATAACAACTTATTGTTAATAATTAGACCACACTCACGCTCTGGGACTCAAGGAAAGTGTAATGTCTTGAAAAACCTTAAGCCTCTTCTCAATTTTCCTCTGAATTATGCCGCCGCCGCCGCCGGCGGTGCCGTCTCTGGCATTGGTTGCCGCTCTCTTCTCTGGTTCATTGGTTGTGCCCAGAACTGCAGCAAGAATAGCCTCTTCAAAGTCACTGTCATCAGGCAACATTGCTGTCAGTTTGTCTGTCTCCTCGGAAGTAGGAGGACATGGCCTTGTCTTAGTTTCAGCTACAAATGGCCTTTTTATTTCCACTATGTCACTCACTCTCATTGAACTGGCTGCATTTCCAGACCTTGTTCTCTTCAGACCTTCAGGAAATTGGTTGTTTCCTATGGGAGGAACTTTGGTAATGGATGGTTCACTAACAAATTTTGATGAGAAGAATGGTTGGGCTGCAATATTCAATGAATTCCCTAAAGGAATTTGAACTTGTTTGATAAATTTCTGCTGTGATTGTTGGTGAGGAGGAGGAGGAGGAGGCACCATCTGGGCGTTTGCTAACAAGTTCATATCAATGTTCTCATCACCAAAATCATCTTGAATAACAACCCTACTAGGATTTGTGACTGGCAAGGCTGTTGTTGCTTGATCCTTGCAAGGCTGAGGCTGCCAAATCGACGAAGAACCGAGGAACGCATCGAAAAGCCGCCTCTGTTCGAGCCTGTCACCGCCCCTATTCATCATCTCAGACGAAAGATCTTGGAGCATCTGTTGTGCTCTTTCATAAGCTTTGAGATGGGAATCCGTTCCTCTTGGCCCATCTGCCACTGCTGGCTTTACTCTTCGTAGATTCTCTTTAGCCTCTGATATTCTTCCTTGTTTCATCAAGCAGATTCCCAGGTTGCACATTTTGTTATTATCCGGTGCTATTGAGAGTGCTTTCCTGTAAGCATCTTCTGCTTCAACGTAGTTGTTGTGCTGCATCAATGCCCATCCCAAATTACCCTGAAAAAACCCAGAAAAAAAATATCAGATTAATCACTGATTAATCCATGTTTAAGTTCTTGAAGAACTTGTTCAAGATCTTACCAGTAATCTAGTTGCTTCTTGCTCAACTGAGACTTGGAACTTCTTTCCTTGAGATCTGGCTGTTTTTGTTCTCTTCCCATTGAACGCTAATCCTTGTTGAATCAACAATAGTTTATGCTTCAATAGAGCTATCTGATCATCCAACCTTCCACATCTCTGTGGATTTAGATTTGAAATTGTCCAGAAAAATTATCAGTTTCCGTCACAATTAAGAACAAAGGCAGTAAAGAAAGGAAAATTAAAGAGACCTTGTATAGATCCAGAAGAATATTATCCAGAGACTCCTGAGCCTGATCGGAACACCGACTCCGCAACGATTTAATTGCTTCGATTGCTTCTTCGGCTCGATTCTGCTGTTTCATAACAATCGCCATATCTTTCAAGGCACTATCAACTCTGTCCCCTGCATTAATGGCAGCCCAAAAGAGAGGAATCGCCTTATCCGGATCCTTATCCACCAACTGAGCGAACAGAGTAAGAAGAAATCATCAGTATACCAACAAATTGAATCAAAAACCTGCAAATAGAAATGAAATTGCCAGAGAAACTCATATTCAAAGCTCTAGAAATCTTGCCTGAACATTCTTTGCCCTAACGTAGGGCGTATCCCCGACAGGAACCTTGTGAGTGACATGGAATGACTCGGATCGGAGCCGGGAGATGCCGAGAGGCTTCGCCGGAGAAGAAGGGGCGGATTTGGAAGGCCTGAAGCCCGGAGGAGCGTTCCACATGTCCTGCAGCATTGTGGAATTCTGAGAATGAAGTTGGAAGAAGAAGAGTGAAAGGGCCGCAGGGAAATGGGGTTTGGGTTTCAGAGTGAGAGAGGAAGCCGAAATGGAGGGGGGCTAATATCAGGAAATTTTTGAATTTTGTGACCGTTGGGAGGGTTACTGTTTCTGCAACTAGCCGTTGCATGTTCCACGTTCGAAAAGTTATATTATATTATTGATGCAAAAACTTTCTCTGTCATCTAATATATTTCTGGAATCCAAAAAATGAAAAGAAAACAAAATATCATTATTTTGATTTGATTTTTAAAAAATGTGTCTAAGATTTTGCAAGTACTACTAGTTTTAAGAACAATTATACTTGTTTTTCATAATAAATAAATAAATTATAAAAAACTCCACCTATCGTAATAAAAATGAAGTGCAGCCTATTCGTCACTTTTAATTAACATCGGTACAGGGTACGGCGAGGCAGTCTCCTGCGCGCTCATACATACCTAGCTCAGCCATTAGAGTTAGAGTTCATTCACGGTTAACTTACCACTAGGTGTAGATCCGATAGTGACAAAGGCAAGGGTTCCGAGAATAACCCCAAAAAGTTTTATTTTAACCAAAAATATTTTTTTAAAAATACTGACAAGACACTAATATATAGAAGACACTAATATATAGAAAACGAATACTTGATATGATTTACAATATCATTATATTATTTTTCATGAACATTTAATTAGAAATTTTAGGTTTGATTTAGTAATACATAATTCAAGTAATTGATTTTAAAATAAGATTTTCAATCATCAAATTTAATTTCTAATAAAATTTTTAAAAAAATCATAATTACTACCATTAGAAAACTTATAAACGATCTACAGCAATCAATAAAATTCTACAATTAAAATGATCAATAATGTGTTCCAAGTCAAAAATACATATGTTTACTTGTGTTTCGAAGTTTGGAACAAATTGGATAAAGCCCATTAGAGAGGAGATATTGGGCCGGGCCCAATTAATATCCAACGGTCCATGTACTCTCATTAAACATACAGAGCTTCAAAGAACTACATGTAAAATAGTGAAGGTTTCCATCTCTTCGCAAACAGCAAATAGACAACTGCAATTAACGAGAACGCTGTGATTTAAAGAATAGAGGAGGCTGCACAAGGCAGGCAACTCTCATATGCAGTGAAGGCATTCAACTCGGAGTCAAATCACAGCGCTCGAAAGCTGTCTACTTTATCAAGTCTAGCTGTACCTGAGCTTGACGATTCGCCCATGGCATCGGGAGAAGCTGCTCGTTGGGACGATTCTCTCTTCAATGAAGTTGGTATTCCAGAGATCTCCTGAACAAGAAACAACAACCGTGTTCTTTTATGGTGTGATATCTTAATAGGTGCAAAAGGGAAGATTTCCATGAATCTAAACGAATGGAGTTGGGTATTAATTTTTCCTCTAATACACCCTAAGTCCACCGCTAGCAGATATTGTCTACTTTGGCCTGTTACGTATCGTCGTCGGCCTCTGGTTTTAGAACAAGTCTACTAGGGAGAGGTTTCCACACCCTTATAAGGAATGTTTCGGTCCGTTCTCCAACCGATGTTAGATCTCACAATCTACCCTCTTTGGGGCCAGCGTCCTCGCTGGCATACTGTCTAGTGTCTGGCTCAGATACGACTGTAACAACTCAAAACTACTGTTGGCAGATATTGACCACTTTAGTCTATTACGTAAGTCCAAGATTCTTATGTGAAAACAATGTTCAAGTGCAAAGGAATTAAAGATAACAAAGTGAGTGATCAAGTGTGCAACTCATGATAAGAATGGGCGTTGTTCTCAATTCAATATAAATGTAAATGGGAAAACTAAAGTTACTCTATCATATTCTATTAAATAAACACAACCAAAAGTAAAGGAATTCTACAATTATCAATGAGAAGTCTAAGGAAGGAAAATTTACCTTCATCAAATGAAATCTCAAATCGCATGGTCTTACTTGATTACCAATACAAGCCATCACAAATTTTGAATATTGAAACATTACATCAGCAGCAGCTTGTTTTTTCTCATCAGTCTGCAAATTTGTCATGTTTATAATCAGAAGGACAGCACAAAAGACAGAAACATAGATGGCAAGGAAGCCTAACTCAATTACAAATGGCTCATGAACACTTCAGTTAGAACAGGAAGCCATCTTTAGGCATAACAACAGAACTGACCTAATGCCCTTAAAGTAAATCCTAGGCTTCTCCATATGGACATCAAATATGGACGATAATAGGTCCAAAACTAGTGACACACAGATTTCTAACTTTTTGATGCTCAAAATCTAAGCACATGATATTACCAAATATCCTACAAAAGTTAAATCATACTCAGCTCTCTGTGCATCAACAGAATTTCAGAAAATTCTGGGGACCAAAAAAGGATTGAATAATAGTAGGCAATTGTAGAAACTGGAAAGCATTATTACAACAAATTCAGACAGAAACAAAGTAGCAAAATCAGGAACTCCACGAACAACGCATCCATATAGAATAAAAGCTAGTTAATGTAAGTTCTGTAACTTAGAAACTAGGGATCGGAAAGAATTTTTTAGAAATGTACTAAACTCAAAAGGAAAATAACATCCTAAATCTTAAACCCGTTCAATCACCACTATATTAACTGGATTTCGTTTCTCATGACCGCCACTTCAAAGATGCGAAATCTTTTACAGAAAGACAGTAATTCACGACATCTTTTACAAGAACATGACTATTTCACTCTCACTATTGAAAAAGGAAATAAAGAATATCGAATGTTACTAGTCACCACTCAGCAAAGTTGAAAAAGGCTAAATCTATCTAAGCAATAAGCTCAAACTTTAAAGATTGAATCAAAATCCACAAAATTCTGCATAACAGAAATTCTAGCAGGCGATAACTGTTGCAGAACAAAGTTAGTAGATCTAACCATGAAATAACCTTAAGACGACGAGAACTGCAAAATCAACAGGAGAGGGGGGAAAAGGGGGGGATGACTTGAGAACCTTGATTTTTAGCGCAAGATCGCATAATTAATGGCCATAAGTGCGATAAAAGGGACTCGATTCATATGAACATGATGAAGAGTTCAAGATGAAGAAGGTCGAGGGTTATGAAGGAGGAAATTTCCATACCTCATAGTCATCTTTCATGGCTGTGCTCCGTTCGAGGGACGATCTCTTACAATGATGCAGGCGGAGAAACTATATTTGATAACGCGTTTCGAAACTGGGCTTCCGATTCTCAACTTCGGGGCTGTATTTTTTTGGGTTATTTTATTTCATTTCATTAGCAGGTTAAGAAAAAATTTCTTCGGAAACTTTTAATTCTAAAATAACCTAGAATTCAAAATTATTTTATGTTCATGAATTTTATTTTTCAATGAGACAAATAAAATTAACTCCTTCAGTTGATATTAACTATCTCTCTGTTTATTTGAGTATATATTTATATTTATTTAAATAAATATACATTTTTAGTATTATACATCATTTAATAAATTTTAAAATATTACAATTTAAACGAGAAATAATATTCAACTTTATCGCTTTGCATCATCAGAATCTAAAAAATCACCCATCGAATCTACCATACTTGAAACATGTTACTGATGACTTAATCAATTGAGTTATACTCTAATAAGTAATACAAATGATAATAAAAAAATTAAAAGTTTACTATTGGATGAAACCCGAGTGAAGGAAGAATCCTCCCGTTTACCTAGTTCAATCAGGTGAAGGAGTGAAGGAGTTTACCGAGTTCAAGCAAGAATAAAGAGGAGCGAAGCAACGAGACCGTAAAGGATAGGAAAAGGTGAATGAGTTTACGGTTCAATCCGGGAAGGGAAGATAGAAAATAAGTTAATATTTGAAGGATCAAAACTGAAATCTCAAAATTTAGGAATTAAGATAAAAATTAATAAATAAATGAGGCCAAAACCATATCAAAACCATGTGATTGTCACTTACCCATCCAAAAAAACAAATTTGGACACTGGAATTTCCTTCCCAAAGTCTCAAACTTCCAAAATGTCCCTGTTCTGAATGAAGAGTTGACAGAACTGGTCCATCACTGAGCAATTTTATGAACCCACTAGCAAGAAGAACATTGCAGCCAAGTTAATCTCTAGTTCCTATTCAAATTCATACAAATCTCTTTAGGCTCACCTCCAACAAGCTCATGCATCACAACAGTATTTGGAGCACTATTTAGACCTTCTCAACGACAATACAAATCAGACCATTTTGGAATCCCATTGAAATAGGGCATTTTTCAGAGGCTACATCTATGGCCACCTCATGTCAATGATACACACAATGCTAACGTTTGAAATTTCAAAATAAGATTTGACGATTCATGCACTACACCAGATAAGTAAAAGATTAAGAAATGCCTGAAGAAATGGAGGAAAAGGGTTCATGTTTCCTTGGGAGGAGCCTTCTTTGCAGCCTCGGCAGCTGCCTTTTCTGCTTCAATCTCTGCAACGAGAGCATCAATTTCAGCTTCTTCCAGTTGTCGCAGTCCTTGCTCTTTTGTCATCACGGCAACCTCTATGTTCTTTCCCCCACTCTCAACAACCTGCATTTAAGCGAGAAAATAATTCATTGTTTTTCCAACGATTTGGCAAGTGATATTGTTATGCATAACATTTTAGATCCATAAGAAAAATGGCATGCCCATCTACACGACTCGTTCCTTACAATAGCCAGTGAACCAGAAATGGACTAAAGAAGCAAAACAGAGCTAATATGAAATCTAAACATACCAAACATAGATATCCCCATCAGCCCCAAGAGCTATTTAGACACGAAGGTCATAAGAACTACAATATAATCTATACGTATCTTTGGATGTCAATTCAATTTCCACATCAAAAGTGGTTACGTGATTTTTAATTCTTGCCAGCTGTGTTACTGGATTGCATTGTGATATATTTATATTACATACTACAGGATGATTAAATCGTCAATATCGATCATGAAAGTTTTATGCCTGCTTATCACTTACTAGCAAGGAACTAATGGGGGAAAGTAGAGACAGTAGTGTAAAATAAGCTCCCCCCTCCCCCAATTTATTTCTCAACTTACCATTCCTGTAATAGTACCAACCAAAATATATGTATTTAGCCATAGAAC